AGGATGCATTGCGGAGCATGGAAAAGGCCCTTGAATACAAAACTTCAGACTGCAACATAAGGTACTTGAATCGTCTAATCGAAAGTTTTGGAGCGAAGGAAATGTGGGCAGAAATCATCGCACTGTTAAAGATTATCGACAACCCCCTTGCGGACTGGTTGTGGGACGAGACTTACAGACTTGTCCACAGAGCAGCCAAAGCTACAGGCAAGATGAACGAGGTCCGAAATTACTATATCGATGCTGTGAATAAACCAGATAAAAACGGCAGTGAAGTTACTGATACTAAAATCTGGCTGGCTGCATTTGAGCGATTCGTCATGATGGACACCGATGCAGCGGCGAGACAGCTTCGCGAGGTCTTAGTATCCAGACATAACAAGTTCCGGTCAAAAGAGACGGCAGCCAGAAAGCTTTGTGACATCTGTATCGAACACTTTCTACAATCTTCAGACCCAGAAGAGATGGAGAAGAAGTTGGGTGAAATCGAAACGGTGGTGTCAGAGCTTACGCAATGGCACGGCTTCGAATTTAACGCAGAATTATCGATGACAAGAATTCCTGCTGCAATTATTCTCCGTAAGCTCGGACCAGCCAGACATTTCTACACTTATTTGAACCTCACCTTCGAATCCTGTGTAAATGCTCTTCGAGATGGTTATGATGCAAACGACCAAGCCAGTTTACGGCTACTTGCAAAGACTTTATGGCTTGCTCCTAATGGGAAGTTTGAAGCACAAGTCGCACTGTCTTGTCAGTTCTACCTCGTCACTCAGGTGAACAAGGAGCTAGAACATAGCTCCGATGGAGAAAACGAAGATGATGGCACGGAGCCGCCCGAGTATGATTTCCACCAAGACGTAACACGAGTCTGTGATGCATGCAGAAAGGATATCGAGAACTTTGAGGATGGTAAAATCTATGTATGCGTTTTCTGTACTTCTGTGGATTTGTGCCAGAAGTGTTATGAAGCGCGAATGCAGAGATATCAGCCACAGCAAAGTGACAAAAAAGAAGGCACTACAGACCAGCATCAGGCCGCATCATATCTGTCAGATGATTATGTTGAAGTCTGTCCTCGTGGTCATGTTTTGATCGAAGCTCCAGTTGAGGATTGGAAGGGGGTTCGAAATTGTGTTATAGAATATGGTAACGAGAAAATCGATTTTAAGGAGTGGTTAAAGAACTTGGAAGTGAGTTGGCAGCAGGCGTGGGAAGATTACTGGAGATATGGGGATAAGTACAGTTGGAATAATGAACGAGATCAAATAGGAAGAGTTCTTCGGAAGTTGAAGGAGGCACGTGGAGTTTTGGAAGATATTTCGGAGGACCTGCAACATTAACCATGTTTTCTGGCTCACAAATACTTTGCGTAGCTTCATGTATAGAAATACCTCCTGATGTTTTGAGTCTGGCCATTCTGTAAAACCACAATCACCTAAAATGCTGGTCTGAGGGGCCAGATCCAATTTTGTGAGTTCTCGACATGCGGTTTGGAGCTCCCAATACAGCAGCGTTCTTCCATCTTAGAACGAAATGAACCCACCTGTCAGCCGTTGCTCGTGTTGTAGACGTACTTAGGCTCAAGGCAGCTGCCCTGGCCTTTTCCCTCATAACAGCAGATCATTCTCCATATCAAGTGCATTACAATAAATAACACCAGACTTCTGACTACCAGACTACAATTTGTCAGCTAAGAAGAGCATGACTAGCCTATGAGCTTGTGGCGTTACTAAGACGTTGGAGAGGAGAGCTGGCTAGAGTCACGGTAGTGTTGCTCTTGATAGAGAATCAATCGATGCGTTCATCTTGTAGCAGGTATCAAAGCTATGGCCTGTAGCCTCCTAGATGGGTGGAAAAGGAAAGGAACTTACATTCAAGCAGACAAGACCGCCACTAAATATTCTCAAACGAATATGGACTGATTAATTATACCACGAAACCCATTTTTATACTTAGCCTATATCTAGTCAGAGACTGGGCGAGCTCTAATGGAAGCTGTAGCTAGGCAATGGTAGAAATGAACATATCCGCGCATGCATTGTGGCGGTACTTGCACTCTCGAGGCTCACCTAAGCATATGAAGGCGGTCTTCTGCGAAAGCTGATACTATAGCTTATAGAATCATCGGAAATTGCGCGTTGCGATCCTCAAAGCCAGTCGTGATGTTTCTTGGGTAATGCATTGTTTGCAAATAATGGTGCGAAGTGCTAAGTCAACTCAATGGGTCTGTAAACTCATTGCGTCTGATCAGGCCAAAGGCCTGACTCAAATGAAGGGGATAGAGGAGCTTAGTAAAAGACAAAACTGCACGTCAATTCAGGCAGACGACCTTTTATTCTAGTGGTTTCAAGGCATCTTGCTCGCTGATCAGGCGCCTTCCGCTGCGGGTCATTCTTCCTTAAGGTCGAGCATGAGGCGTCGTACTTTACTGTAGCAAATAGTGCGTCGTCGGCTCCAGGCGCTAGGCTCGTGACGTTCGCTTCAGTGCTGTGCCACCGCTATGCATTCGCTTAAACACCACTCAAATCTCTGCCCTGCGCGTAATCGACACAGGGGTTTCAACGTGCTCCCTACCGTTTTCCTACTGTCTTCTTCACCTGTACAAGTACAATGCACCAAATACCGAAGATGAAGTGTCTGATGGCACTGCTGCTCCTGATCGGCGCTGTGGTGGCGTATGAGACATCGTCAAGCGTCTTGATACCGCCTCCAACCGTCACAGCGGGCGTAGGCACGGCCATTCAATTCAATATGTCGGCGTCTTCGTGCTCTTCGCCTCTTCCAAATGAACGAGGTTGTGACTGGCCATATTTCGTACCTTGGCTAGTGGCTGACCCACGCTTCGACAATTCACAGCCGTCCAATCTGTTTGTTGAACAGTACATGTGTAAGCAAAAAAGCCAGACTCGCTTGTGGCCGCCGCAGCCTGCAGAGCTCTGAGATCTTTGATTGCATGCGGAGTGCTGACTACGTGCAGGCTATCTTTCCCCATGCGTCTCTACCAATCTGACCAGCTTCGACGCAACTATCCCGCCTTCCGCCGTGCCAAATGGAGCTCCATACACCCTAACGTACGAGCTGTTCAGGTGGCTGGCGAACGGCACTGTGGACAAGTATTCCCCTATCTGGGCTGCGTTTGAGGGGACAAGGTTTAACATCACTGGCGCCAACACGACCTGGACACCCTATGACCTCACGGGGCGGTACTATAGCGACAATAGCTTTCGCGCCTGGTACTGGAATGTGTCTTGCGAAACGCTTGAGTGCGCGCGCAATTGTACCAATGCAATTATCGCACCCAGGGTCCCTTTCGTAGGGGGCGAGATACCAGAAGTCGATGCCTGTGTCGAGGCTTGCCCTGGATATGGCTGGGTTCCACGGCAATGTGTTACGGAAAATGCTGTAAACATTGTGCCTGCATCAACTTCAACAGGCATTGATCCCTCGAGTAGTCCAGCATCCAATCCACAAATGACCACATTTAATACGCCCGGTACATCTCCTACTGCTCGTCCTTCTAGTAGCAGCTCCAGAGAGTCGTCGTTCGTTCTATTGCTTGGACTTTTCATCCTAGCGACGATATAAACAGCACCATACTTGCTACAACTACGGCCATGCGCGTGACGCGGTTGTTTGTTGACCAGATTGGTTCTCTTGAAACGTTACTCAACTGAACTCGCTATTTCCCGATCTGTGTCCACGGCGAACTGCGTACCACCTTCTTGTCTTGCACTGACGATGATCGTCATGTGCAGATGTTTGGATTTGCAAGTGCGCGGGGTAGTGCAGAAACAAAGATGCTAGTCTTGGTATCCCCTGTCTTGAGACAGTAGCTCTCGGCCCTACTCAGTCCCCAGATGCAGCGAATCGGTGTTCGACGGCGACCACGGCGGAGACGTGGATTTTCAACCTTAGCTTCCTAACGAGGGAGTTGCTAGGCTCTACGCTGCATACTTCGAACATGAGCCGGTGAGAAACTCGAATGCTCACGTTAGGGGCACGAGAACAACTTCTGATGCCAGATTCGGATCAACGACGGAACATTCGACGCAGGACAAACGATCCGCTAATCTCCTGACGCGTTACGACAGGTCCAACAACAAGGGCATTCATGTCGTTCTTAATAAAGTTTGTTCAAGATTCTGACGTGAGATTGGGGTCTGGAAAAAAAAAGTTGCAGGATACCAGCATCAAGTTTTGGGTTTGAGGTGATCACCTTGCAAACTGCCCCTGCGCGGTAATGCCGTGGCCTGTCATATCGATCGATCGGAGCGGCTTCAAATACCGAGTCAAGCCTTGTAGTTATGCTTACTATTCGTTCTCATTTACGATATGCTGCCATGATTCCGATTCAGTGGCCTACTAGGCTTCGGAATTCCGCTACAACATACCCATTCTAAGCGCATAACGAGGTATTTCCTGGAGGCTCTTCATAGTGAGATTTGGCCATAAACTCTCATATAAACATGCTGCACGGCGCGAAGGATTGGGCTGCAGCGCACGGGTGGAGTAGCTATTTTTGGAGACCACTCGGCACTCACACCCGCCATGAAACGAGGGCGTTCGCCCGGAAATCGTCCTTAATTTGACTAAGATCGTCTAAGCCTCATGTCGACCGGGTTAGCTAACGGCTTTAGGGGCAGTCTTTGATGTCATGGGCCCTGATAACGGGCCATCCCAGGACAGCTGCCCGCTGTACTTTGGGCCCTACGTCGCTGCAGCTGCGCCTCCCACTTTGACTGCCCAGAATCCAGGGAAGCACCGAGAGTGGAATGATGAATTGGCCGGTCTTGGACCATGTCGTCCGTGTGCGACGTTACAAACGATCACCACACTTTAAATTGACGTACTTTACTCAGCCAGACAGCTTTGCAGGCGGAACCCAGTAACCAGGTCAAAAGAGTATTTAAAGACTCGGGCGGATCCGCTGCATCGACGCCAGTTCGGACAGCGATCTTCACTCGGGCCATCGGTAACAACATCCAGTCAGCACCACGATGCTATTCTCCACTACTCTCGCCATCTTGGCCGGCGAGGCAGTCTATGCCTCGACTGTGCCTAATCTGCATGCCCGCGTAGCTGCGGCTGCTTACTGCTCTTCATCGGACAGTGCGTACAAACTGACTCAATTCGACACCCCTGTTTCTGGCACAGGAACTCCCAATGGCATGTCAACTTGGCAGCTCACCGTCGACGATACCAGCTCAGGCTACAAGCAGAAGGTCACCGGTTTCGGTGCCTCTGTCACTGACGCCACTGTGACTGTATTCAACAAGCTGTCGGCGTCCAAGCTCTCGACTCTTCTGAACACCTTGATGACATCTTCCGGTGTGAACTTCAGCCTCCTCCGACACACTATTGCCTCATCTGATCTGTCTGGGGACCCTGCTTACACGTATGATGACAATGGAGGCAACGCAGACACTTCCTTATCGGCATTCAACCTTGGAGACCGCGGAACTGCCATGGCAGCTATGCTCAAGGCAATGAAGGCACTCAATTCTGGATTGACAATTCTGGGATCTCCATGGAGTGCTCCAGGCTGGATGAAGATCAATCGGAAGCTTATCGGCACCACTGTAGACAACAACCTCGACCACACATACGCTAGCCAGTTCGCACAGTACTTCGTAAAATACTTGCAAGCCTACAAGAACAATGGCGTCACGGTCGATGCCATCACCATTCAGAACGAGCCACTCAACAGCAATGCCGGCTTCCCTACCATGTACATCTTTGCCGATGAGTCTGGCAATCTCATTCAGCAGAACATCGGTCCCGCTCTGAGAAATGCAGGTCTGAGCACCCAGGTCTGGGCTTATGACCATAATACAGGTAAGTAGCTCTTCCCACCGAATGACCAGCCAAATCTAATCTGCAATAGACCGGGCTGACTACCCTGATACTGTTGTCAATACTGCACCAAGCTACGTGCAAGCTGCAGCATGGCACTGTTATGCCTCAAACAACGATTGGGGAGTGTTGACCGACTTCCACAACAAACATCCCAGCGTCGCACAGTACATGACCGAGTGCTGGACGTCACCGAGCACTGGCTGGTCACAAGCTGCTGACTTCACCATGGGACCTCTTCAAAACTGGGCCAGCGGCGCTCTTGCATGGACTTTGGGCTCTGATACGACTTATGGGCCCCATCTCTCTGGTGATGGCCCTTGTCCTACTTGCCGAGGTCTGGTAGTGGTCGACACCACCACTGGCAACTACGATTTCGCGATTGACTACTACATGATGGGCCAGTTCAGCAAGTACATTCCCAAAGGCGCAACAATCCTCGCTGGTACCGGCAGCTATACCTATGATGACGGCACAGGTCTGCAGAGCGTGGCTTCCCTCAATCCCGATGGTAGCAAGACTGTGGTGATGACAAACAAATTCTCCAACGATATCTACGTCACCGTGTCTCTCAAGAGCGGAAAGCAGTGGAGTGGCCGTGTCTACAAGAACTCCGTCGTCACCTGGACACTCCCAGCCTAGGGAGTGCGAGGTTCACCCGCGCATCTTTGGGTGAGCCTCGGTTTGATGCTTGTCTTGGGCTTTCGGTAGAATTTGAAGTCTCAAAAGTCTCCTTGTACATATTGCTTTTAGTAAATATCTTCCAATGTATACATAGTTATTGCACTCGTATGTTATACAAGACTAAGTTGATATGCATGGTGAATCATGGCTCTCACGCTCATGCTGTTGATGTGTGCCGCTTGCTCTTGTTCCTGGTCTTCCCATTCGGTATGCACCCTATGTAGCACAGTTCTTCAGATTTCCTTGTCAAGTTCATATTCGCAATCTCATCTATTCTTTTCGGGGTGTGCACATACCATGAACATGAAGTTGATTGTGGAGCTGTTGAATCTATTTTCTTATTGGGTATCTCCGGCCGTCTTCCTAGAGCTTTAGAATAGGCTGGACGTCGTTTGGTTATACTCGCTCCTAGAGCGATCCCTGTCCGTTCTCTCAACCTTTTTCGTCTTGAAACCTTAGCCATCCTTCAACTGACCGAATGCGTTGAGGATGAATTCTGTCAAGAAGCGCGTAATCTCGTTTGGATACTGCAAGCATCGTGTGGCTTCCATGCATAACTCCATTAGTGATGTGGAACTGTATTAAATTTGGCGACCCACGAACGGTCGAATCCTTGGGGCGAAGCACGTCTAGGCCATGAGAGACATGGTAGTGCGTGATAATGGTATGAAGAGATCTAAGCTTCGGTACAACTCCACGAGGCTTGCAGATCTCGGGTGGGCCTTTGCACATGATCTCAAATTTGTCTATTGATTATATATAATTAGTGTATATGATTCACAAGCAGCGAGAAACTCTGCGGCATGCGACGAATTGATGACGAGCAATTGGCAGACCGCCCAAGACTCTAAACATAGCTATATCAAAGTCGATCAGCGGTGATCTCCATTGACTTCCTTGGAAGTTAAAGACCAATTGTGGCTCCTATTCCTGGCTTTTTTGCCTCGAGCACCTTCATGGTCTGCTCAAACACCTTCTTCTGTGCCCTTCTGCCTACATCCGTGTAAATCCATGGTTCAACATTCTGATTGTATCCATCAGCCATATACTCCCCATGAGAAGTAGGGCCAGCACTGGCTCCGAGAACGAGGGTCCGAGCGCCGACTTCAGTCGTCCTTGAAATCAGTGCGTATAAGATAGATTCGATGATCCTGGCCGCACGAGGTTTCTCGTTGCGCGTAGCAAGAGTTGAAACACAAAGCCCTGGGTTTACCAAATTGATGATGACTGATGGTGAGCCTGAATCGCTGGTGCTGATGCGCGAAACTATCTCGCGAACCAAGAGGATTTCCATGAGCTTGCTAATTTCATATCTATATATGGCGAAGAGAATGGTCAGCTTCAAGTATTTATAAGCTTCAATATAGTAGAGTCAATACGACATCATAGGCTAATAGACGTACGTCTTCTGCCCGTTGTAGGACTTCTCGTCATTCAACGCCTCATAGATGTCCGGGAAGTTAATCTGGGTGAACTTGGTGAGGTGATGAGCCTCTGAAGTTACAATCGTCAAATGTGGTGGCGAATCCGCGACCTTTGCAGTTTCCTTCAGCTTTGGCAAAAGCGATAGTGCGAGCAAAAACGTGTTAATGACGTTGACTTGCATCGTCTGCTCTATTCCCTCGATGATCTTGATGGTTTTGCTATTGATTCCTGCGTTCTCTACTAATACATCAACTCGAGACAGTTCTTTGTTGACGCGTTCAACGAAAGCGATTGTCGATTGTGTGCTACTGAGATCAAGAGGCCAAACTTCGATTGTGTCGGCATCAGTGCGGTGTTTAACGCTTTGGGCAATGTCTTCCTTAGCGGTTTGACCTTTCGAGACGGTTCGGACTGCGAGAATCAATCTTGCACAGTTTAGCCTGTAAAAATGACGGGCTGCTTCCAAACCAAGACCAACATTGGCACCGGTGATGATGACAGTTTGTTTGGAAAACGACTGAGTTGGGTAGGGTGGCGTACGGAAAAGTTGGGAGTGAAGGAAAAGTCGTAATGCCGGGCCGACTTTAGTTTCGATAATGATTTCTTCAGACATCTTAAATAACGCCGAAAACCAAAACTTAGATGAGAGGAGGTATAGATGAATGCATGCAACGAAGAGAGCGAGGGAAGGTTTATTGTCCCATCCTTATACTTCGTCAGAATGGGGCCGCAAAAGTGGTTCTCTCTTCCCGCCGCAGCGCCGCCACTATAACGTTTTAACATTGACCACGGCAAGGAAGAGAAATGTGATTTCCATCCCTAATTCATCAGAACTAGAGCACTCTACTTCTTTCCATACTGAGACTTCAGCATGAAATATCGACTTGATTGCCTCAGCCGACATGGGTCTTAATTAGTGACCACAACCTGGAGCCCGTTTTCCACTACCAATGTATCAGTTGCAATTAATGCGCAGATTACATCACCAACTCCCCATCACCCTACTTCCTGCTCACATCAGTGCAACTGCCAATAGCTATATGATATATGTGTTTCTAAATCTATCATTTGGTCTAGAGGGGCTTCAAAGGTTCCACCTAGCACTCGGCGCTGGCGTCTCGAGAAGAACTGTTGATGCAACACTTCAGATGGAATAATTTATCAGCCGCAGGAACATGTCCCAGCAGAAAGCCCGCCGAACAAATTTAAATCTACCCTTAGCACCAAGGCAATTCTGCAGGAGAATTCCAGAGAAATGACTGACTAAGTCGTCCCCAACAGTGGGCGCTAAGCTAATCCGGATAGCGCCCGCAGACTCACACCTCGAGAGAGACCTCACCGTACTAAACCATATCCAATTGGATTCGTAAGGACCTACCTCCTACATCCACCTTCCTTGTAAGCAGTCAAACTGTACGGTGCAAAATACGCATGCTTTGGTCATGGTGAAGACCATGGAGACAAAAGCATGCCGTGCTTGTGCAATAGCAAAACGCCGATGCGGAAAGCAGACACCACACTGCCTGCGGTGCAAAACGCGCGGCATCAAATGCACATACCCTCCGACAAAGCCGGGCTCATTCGTCCTTTGCAGGGAGGATACTACCCCTGTCGAATGTGAAGCATTCCCTGAAAAGACTTTACAGCTCCCTGCCCACCCTTCCCAATACTTGCAAGCCGGCGGAGTGGGCGATGCTAGACTCTCCTTGGGGCTGGGGCTAGACTTTTCTGGCCTCTCCAGCATCCTCATTGATGAGCAATTCGCTTCAGGCTGGTTTGCTTCCTCAGAGAACTGGCAGGTTGGGTTTCCTGCCACGGCGGATCAGAGTTCAATTTCTGTCCCAGACCTTAAGCATTTCATCAAAAGGATTTTCCGGTGGCTGGAGGAATGGGTTGAGAAAGGTTGCAATTCTTTCATACATACACGGCTATACCGGGCTCGATTTCCTCGTTGTGTCCAGGATGCATATGCGGCTCTATCCTGTTATTTTCACAGGACTGCATCAAACGAACAGATTGCCCTCCGGATAATTGAAGACCGAGCCAAGAATCTAGTAGCAGAATACGACATAACGTCAGGGTCATCTAACAACAGCACGGCTTCAACCACTCTTGATCCTTTGGAACATGTAGCTCGCGTTCAAGCCTTGTTAATCTACCAAATTATTGGTCTTTACGATGGTGACATTCGGCTGCGTCATCTTTCAGAGACATATTTGCCGGTGCTGAATAAGTGGATGCAAGAGATGGCTCTTCATGCTAGCCAAACAACGGCCTTAGGCGGCTACCTCATCTACTCAGCTCAAGAGAAAACCATTGACAGCCAGGGCTCGGCTTATGATTCACAGAGGGAGAATCTTCTCTGGTACTCGTGGATACTTGCTGAGAGCATACGACGTACCTGGGTCGTAGGCTCTGGGATCCAAGTTGTTTTCATGGTTCTTCAGCAGAAGCAGGTGGACTCCTGCCAAGGAGGGATGATGATTACAACACGCCAAGGAATCTGGGAAGCTCAGTCCTCGGCTGCCTGGGAGAAACTGTGTTTGGAGGTCCATGTAGGGCTGATGCAGATGGTCGAGGTCGAGAGGTTATTTACAGAGTTTGCACCGAGCGAGGTCAACGAATTCACGAAGGTAGCACTGGAGGTTGTTTTTGGTCGGGATAAAATGGAGAGATGGGGTGTCCAGACTGAATTGTGATCGTCATCTGGCAAAGGAAGTTCACTTGCTGACTAGAGCGAGTTTACTACAGACGGATAGCAATACCCCAAGCCATGGCGATGGCCGAAACCAGCGTGAGCTTCGGGAGAGCCGGCAGCTTCCTGAGCTCTACATCCATGGCTCTTAGATTGGAACCATGCACTTGCATTTAGAGATTTGCCCTGTCCATACAGTATTTCAAACACCTTAATTTCTAAAACGTGAGACCTCATCGAGCCGATGCTCTTAGTTGTCGCTTATTTCGGTGGCTGCATCAAATCTTTGATCGTGTCTTTAAGTGCTTGTACAGCCTCGTCGGATATTTCTATGATTTGTTAGCAGATATTGACTCCTAAGATGAATCGAAGACTCACGATAATGCACCACTACACGATCTCTATGTATCCTAATTCCCTTCTCTTGAGCCTTTTTGACCACCTCGTCAAGTCCAAACCGTTGTCCGTTAAAATCAAGCCACACCATATTGGTTTCGGCTGGGTATTGTAACTTTCCACCATAGCTCTCCCACACACTGGCTATCTCCTTTGCAAGTTCATGTGTCCTTGCTAGTCGCTTTTTCTCGAATGTTTCACGAACTGCGACATGTGCGGCTGCCGCGAGGATCCCAGGTTGCCGAATGCTACCGCCAATACTCTGTCGGATCCAGCGGGCATGACGGATAGTATCTTGATTTCCAACCACAATTGCACCGGCTGGCGCACCAAGACCTTTGCTAAAGCACATTGTGACAGTGTCAAACAGAGAGCAGTACTCCTTCAGAGATCCCTCGCCTGAAGACACCACCTCCCACAGCCGTGCACCGTCTAGGTGGACCTTTATCCCATTTTCATGAGCAAAACCGCAAATTCGACGAGCTTCAGCCAGAGGTAGTATCATTCCACGAAGGGTGTTCTCTAGAGAAATGACGCGTGTCGGACACATATGAACCTTTTCTCCTTGCCCAAGCTTGACATGTGGGAGTATGTCTTCGAGAGTGAGGTGTCTACCGTTTGCCGGCTGTATGGTCTGGGGAATTGCGCCGGCAAAAGCAAAAGCACCTCCGGCTTCATTTGTCACAGCATGACACCGCGCATCGCAAATGACAGCATATGGTGGCTGGGTTAGAAGCGTTCGCAGAGACACCAGGTTGCCCATTGTCCCCGACACCACCCAGAGCGCTGCCTCGCGGCCCGTCAATGATGCTACATACTCCTCAAGGGCCTTTGTGCTGGTGTCTGAGCGATCAATGTCGTCTAGCAGGCTTGCATGAGTGACCGCCTGAAGCATTGCTGCCGTTGGGCTTGTGCGAACATCGCCTAGATAATAATTGATGTTAGAAGAGACATATAAGTCGACGCATGAACCCCCGACTTACCACGGAAGTCGTAGGCTGCTGGTCCCGGTTCCAGCCAGGAGTTGGGGCCTAGCAACGACTCATGCAGCATGGCATCATCGGCCGCTGAATCCATTTTACCCAACCTCACCTCGAGGACCAGTGAAGGCGTTTATAACGATATATTCCGTAATAGAGTATATAGCCGCCACGGACTGAACTCTGTCCGTCAGCTACTTGGCGCGCTCCGTCGATACAGAATGTGAAGTTTTAAGAAGTTTTGTCGGGGTTCCGTGGCGGCGCCAGGGGCCCGGAGCTTGTCATTGCTAGGCCTGAAATATGGGGAGCTGGACGCGTTCCGCCATACAGAAGCCCCTAAGGAGCCAGAAAAATGGAGGTCGTAGTCCGTCCAGTCCGTTCTGGGCCGACTGCAAATTGTGGGGACAGTCCGCCCATCGCCGCCACGGCTCCGGATGACTCGCTCCAGCAGCATCCGTGAATCCTGTTGATACAAAGACTGTACATTTGGATTTATGAGAATTTGGAAATTGGGAAGACCAATCGGTCAATTACTCAAGGACTCTTACTTGGTGCAATTCCCCCGTAATGATAATATTCCTTAATGATAATATTGTACCCAATAGGAATGACTTCTTCACTGCCTTCACTACACGTCAGATCTCTTCGTAGCCTGAAAGACCACAAATCCAGGGTTATCTACAAAAGATTTCCAAAAGTTTGGATCCTCCTTGACCACTGACATTTCTTCGGGAGCCACTGACGAGAAACCTGTCAATCCATACTTCTCCGGTAGCTCTGTACTTCCCTTCATGCTCAAGTTGATTGAACTTGCCTCAAACTCCAGTGGGGGGTTCAGTAAGAGGGCATACCGATAGTTCAGACCATCGGCCGTCTCCTCAAACGCTGATGTGAGGGTTCCGTACCGGCCATCCCACGCCTCGCTCCGAGGGTCTCCGACACGGATGCCTATGAAACGGCCGCCGGGTTTTAAGTACGCTGCTGCGTTGCGCCACATGCCCTCGTACTCGGTGAGATCGTGGGCATGGTCGAACGTCCACCCCACAAGGACCAGGTCGTACGACGGACGAAGGGGCAGGTGTGTCAGGGGCTGGGCGATGTTGCCAGTATGCCAGGAAATAACACGCCCTTCGCGACCGAGCGACGTCTCGACCTCCTGGCCGGCCCGCATCATCTCGACGGAGATGTCGACCACGTCCACGCTGGCCGCGCCGGCGTCAACGGCTTCGCGCGCCTTGAGCCCGCTGCCCCCGCCAAGGTCCAGAACTGTCAATCCCGCACAGTCTCCCAAGGCAGCTCGGAAAAGCTCTGTTTCTATCTTGGCAAAGGGGAACTGAGTGGCATAGTCACTGTATCGCCCGCCTTGGCTATCATAGTCTTTCATTAATTGGCTTTCCATACTTGTGTGGTCACGATCAGAGTTGGTCAAAGGTCATAGATGGTGAGAACACGGATGGCAAGACAGCACAACTATTGCTGCTTCTTATCTCTTTATACCCCTCTTTCGTTATGCTTTGAGAGTTACACAACAATGCATCATACCACATTTACAGAAAGATGTCCAATAAGAGGTGGTTTTCAGCATGCCTAGATGCGCCCAAAGAGGGGAATGCATAACATTGTCTTTGCCCACCATCAAGTTTTGTAGCAGATTGCAAAACGACAATTGCTCGAAAGAACCAGGTGACCCATCCTAGGCTAATGGTCACCAAAGAAGCCAACGTCAATGATATCTAGCTTTACATCCTGGATCTCATTTCTAGGCTATGAAAAGACAACGATCCGAGGATACTATTCAGCAGTCGTACTTTCAGTGCATATCATGAAAGACTTCTGAGATATAAAGACTCATTCATCCTGATTATCTCGTGCAATTGTCGTAAACTCAGCTCAAAAAAATGCAAAGAACAAATAAGCTCCTAGTAGATACGAAGATAAGAAATATAGATGCACCTTTCTCGATAGAAGATATTTTCAATTCGTCTTCATCTATACGATCTCTATGTAGACATAGAGATGGTTGGTTTAGGGAGTCGGAAGAGCGGTTGGGGCTGAGACATCGACTACTCCCTCAGGCAGTGCTTGCAGCTCGTCTTCTTCATAGTCCAAGTGATGTATTTGAACCCAAAATATCGAGCCTCCACAAAAAGCGAGGATCGCTGCAACTGCATAATTCCATACAAGCAGCGGATCATCGCTGAGCGGCACGAGCGCCTGTCCCAGGGCAGCAGCGATGGCGTACATGAAAAGGGCCAGAGCCTGGACAAGCGACCGCATGCTCCTAGGTGCTCTTGTATACGAGTACTCTAAGATAGTAGTGTTTCGTAGCACCTCGCCCAAAGCAATCAAAACAAATATTCCTGGCTGCGCGCCAACATCGATAGGGGTCGAAGAATCACATACGTTAGAGTTGTGTCCACATAGAGATTTCTGATAAATGTAGTACTGCAAGACAGCTGCCCAAATCATGCCAGCCGAACCATAAAAGAACGCGGCGGTAATGCGTCGAATTGGAGATACATTGATCTTGTATCTACGAAGGAACGGGAAAGGCAACCGATCGAAGAATGGCGCGAAGACTATGATGCCGAGCGGGTCGATGATCGTTAGGACCTCATTGGGCAGACCGTGCGATTTCAACAGTACTGCCTGGGAAACGAGATTGCTTTTAATCTGGATGAAGCAGAGGAAGAAGAGGGGGTACCAGATGAAAACTTGGAAGCTTTCACACAGAATTGAACATACGCAGTTGACCAGTCCCATAGTAGGTAAATCTTTCACACAGTTCAACAAGAGCAATTGTGAAAGCATCCCAAGTAAGTTTATGGGGCACTCGTCTCAGGGCTCTCAGCCCCTCATCCGTGACCGCCAATGTTTCTTTTGGGACTTCGTCGACAACATCTTCATCGAGATGATTCTGAGACACCTCTATCTCTTATGGTTGATTGGCGATCTGGCCAACTCCTAGAGAGGTGGATTTCTCGATGTTTGATATGTCTTTGGAACATTTCCCCAGCATCTGATGTACCTATAGAGGCGGCCATGATGAAGAGAGATCCAGATAGCGTTGTGGTTATGACTGATGACGAGTAGACCGGATCATGGCGAGACTTTATCTATCAACCGTCCCCCTGTAACTTCTGCATCGTTTGTCTTCGAACTCTCCGACTTGTCCTAATAATGGGCTAGACTTGGGTTGTCACCTCCGCTACGAAACCTCCCCAGGGACTTGAACTGATTTGCTGGTATCATGGGCCACCCAACCCGCACGGCCACCTCCGCCTTCTCCTAGCCAATTCCAGCCCACCGGACTCCCCGCAGCGTGCTTTGAAATAAGATCTTCATCTGAGGATTCAACCCTGGTACCAACTCCAACAAACGTCCTTAGTCAAATTGGTGATGTGGTTAGCGTGAATCTAGGGGACAGTAATACGCTAGCGTGATGATGGTGGACACGTGATCAGGATGAAGCTTAAGCCGTCTTCGGATATGCGGCGGGTCTCTCTTCACTTTTTCTGAGTCGCAGCCGGTCAAACAACCACGTATCTTGCTGTCAGTCAATCGAAAAACATTCCACTTGGCTGGACCCTGCTGTGGGATTGTTTTGGTGCATCTTGGGCCACTTTGGCAATGGCCAAAAGCCCTCGAGCCCTTCAAAACAGCCATGGATGCCGAAAAGAAACGGATATCGTAAGCCGAACACCCCCCCATGTCTCCATTGTGCATCGAAGCTAATCAGCCTCAGGTGTCGGCGATGCCAACTTCGCAAAGTAAGTGATGTAAAGTCAGTGAACTATGTTGGAAAGTCGCTCACATGGCCTCTCTGCAGTTGAAATGCACCAGACTGCACCCGTGTGAGAATTGCGTGACCAGTGGGAACGAATGCACCTTCCGGGATGATGATGTGCGGCGTAGGCCAGTCAGCCGAAGATACGTTGCTGCGCTCGAGGAGCGGCTTGCATCGTACGAGGCAACCATTCGTACACTTCAGCAATCTCCTTCGAACCAACGGACCCTTTGGCTGCCAAACAATGCCCTAGGAAGTCCATCCTCAGGAGAAAGTCGAAATGTTGCCGCAGACCTTATTTTCGACTATAGTGGGTCGTCTCGAATGTCAACTCTGACGTTACAACCAAGTCCCCAAGGTGTGCATGTTCTTATGCTCTATCTGTGGAATTGTATCTAATATCACAGGTCATCGCTCATTCTATGGACCAACAAGTATATACCAGAAGTACTGCATCACTGATGAAGCGGATGAGGACAAGGAAGAGCAGACCAGCTCAATACTGAACGAATATTCAGACTTTCGGTTGTCTCGAATATTCAAAATCGATGATCTCGTGTTCAATTCGGCACTTTCATTATTCTTCCGTCATCTGAATGCCGAGTGTCCTTTTATTGACGGACCAACACTTCTAGGAGATTTCTTCCACGACAAGTACAAGGGCAAATTCTGGTCGTATCCGCTCTTGTATGCAATTTGCTGCTTGGGTGCTCGCATCTCATCTGAGCCAAATGTCTCCAAGACTGCGGACTCACTGGGTCGCTGTGTCCATGAAATGTTAAGCATCAGGAGCCTTGAGAGTCCACATGCCACTACAGTACAAGCACTACTCTGTTTGGCATACGTAGAACTAGGTGTGGGTAATAACACAAAGGGATGGATGCTTTCAGGTAAGTATCCCTCCAGTTACCATGCTGTTAGGAGAATTCTGATATCTGGAAGGAATGGCATTCCGGATGATTCAAGACTTGGGACTTCACCAAGATCCGAAGTTCTTAACAAGAGACGATTCGACAATCGACCTGGAGCACGATTCGCAAATGAGGAGACAAGTATATTGGGGTTGTTACATCACCGACAAGTATGAAGAGTCTATATCAACCTAAACACAATGCTAATGAGTGTCTAGGGTCATTTGCCTGTATTTCGGTCGACCTATGTTTTTGCATGACGATGACGCCTCGGTTGATCCGCTCAATCCAAATACCACGTATGTTGCTTTGTCTACACTTACTTTTTTCGATACCTAATCGCGATGTATAGAGTTGATGTAGAGGCTGTTCCTCTTCCAGCGAATCCCGGATCAGACGCCCCAAAGTCGTCTTTATTAGCCGATATGAATTCGCTGCCGATACTTGCACATCTCGCTGAGCTCAGTAAAATCATCGAATCGATAATGACTCAAATATTCTCGACAAAACTTATCAAACTGCCTCGTAAAGACCTAGTATATCATAGGGTGGCAAAGCTTGAAGAATTGAATATACGCCTGTTCCAATGGCATTCGGCTATTCCAGAATCACTAGCGTGGAATCAATGGACTCCAACTACGCAGAGTCTTCCTCCACAATTAGCAATCATGCAGTAAGATGACCCTCCCGCACTGACTAGCTTATTATTGAGGCTCTAGGCTAATGAATGCAGTGCCTTATACCACAGCTGCTTAATTTCCTTGAACAGGCACTTCATACGGCCCACTCCGGGATTTGCTCGAAAGACGCAGTCTCGAGAGATCTGTATTGCCTCTGCAGATAGCATCATGGCCATCACGCGCCACTACCGAGCGCAGCATACTCTTGCAACCGCCCCGGTCATCCTGGTGTATAGCCTCATGATGACTGCAACTGCTGTCACTTTTGCCCTCGATAGCGCGACATCGACAGAGGAGCAACCTTCTGAGTATCACCAACATATTAGCTTCCTCCTGAAAGCGTTGAAGGAATGTTCTGTCACTTATGGTGCTGCTGTCCACACCAGTAAAAATCTGAAGAGGGCGATGGCGAGACGGCATGGAAAGAATGCTGAGCCTGAGAGCGATAATGCATCGCCATCCTCAGACGCAGATGGTCCAAGGGGGGCTCCACAGCCAGCGACCGAAGAAACAGTAACAAAAACCGAAGTTACGAGTGACTTTCCTGTAGAAGGATCGTCTCCAACTTGGTGGAACAACGAGTTCACGGACTTTGGAGAACTGGGGGTCTCAGGTCAGGAATGGGAAAACATGGCCTTCTTCAACGACCCGGAAAGCGAAATGCTTTCTAACCTCAATTGGAACGATGCGTTTATGTAGCATACTATTTGAAATATATCCTTTTGATGATAAATGACACCACGTATCTTGAACTGATGGCATTGTTGTCATCCAGGACTCGTGGACTGCTTACTCCGTTCCGTGCTTTTCGGAGATGTGGGTTTCCGTCATGGACTTTGAACTCCGACAATCGCTACCGTGCGGGGCCGTGTTTTTCACAATTCCACGGCGCTGAATGCACCTCCGCCGAAGTTATCTCAAACTTGTCAACTACCACTTGGCCATCGTTCTTTTCTACCCAGACCTGGGCTTGACTATGATTGGACTCTCCCGTCATCTCTTGGGATTGATTCTGTATCATACGCGGTCCGTTGTAGATTGTAGCTAATTGAAGTAACGCGATGACTGGGAAGGACTCAAAGCCGGCATTTGGTTATGAACACGTAGAGCCTTTCGATGCTGGACTACTAGAGGTCGGTGAAATACACAGGCTCCACTATGAGCAGTACGGAAACCCTGAAGGAAAACCAGGTAAGTGGTATTGGTTATTGAAGACAGCTCGGAGTACAGTAAGTTGGCTAATAAGACGCTTTCACGCCTAGTTGCCTTTCTTCATGGCGGTCCTGGAGGACAGACTTCAAAGGCAAATGCACAATACTTCGATCCAAGTGTGTACCGAGTAGTGTTGTTTGATCAAAGGGGTGCCGGCAAGTCGCAGCCATGTGCTGAACTGGAAGAGAACACCTCCCAGCTCCTTGTGCAGGACATCGAGACCCTTCGCAGGCACCTAGGGATCAGGAAATGGCACGTCGTTTTCGGGGGCTCCTGGGGATCAGCTCTCGCTTTGCTCTACACGCAGATCCACTTGGAGGCCGTGGGGTCCCTGATCCTCCGGGGCATCTTCACGGTTCGGAAGGCAGAGCTTGCCTGGAGTCGAGGCGCCAACGGTGCCAGGAACATCTACCCGGACGCCTACGAGGCATTCCTGAGCCACTTGCCTGCAGATGATCGGGAGAATCCGCTTCAGGGGTACTACAAACTTCTGACCTCCATAAATCGCCAAGTCAGGATAGCGGCAGCGAGAAGTTGGAACAGGTGGGATACGACCATCGGGTCCCTCGAGCCTGGTCCGGGTGCCTTCTCTAGACTTGACGACGATGATTGGTGTCTATCCCACGCGAGGTTGGAATGCCACTATTTCGTGCATGGCGCCTGGCTTGAGGAAGGCCAACTTCTCAAGCGAGAGAACCTGGATCGTATTAACCACCTTCCACGTAGGTCACCGACATGTGGAGAGCTTCGTTTTGGGAGTTTTCTAGTCTACCCAACTGTCAATAAGTAACTAACGCAAGTGTAGTCACGATAATTCAGGGACGATATGATATTATTTGCCCATCTCGAACGGCGTGGGACTTGCACCAATCATGGCCAGGATCTAGAATATTCTTCGTGTCAGGGGCAGGTCATAATGCTTCGGTGAGACTTCTCGTTTGTCCCAAGTCACGCGAGTACTAACCAGAAGGATCAGGAGCCCGGAATTCATAGGAAGCTAATTGAGGTTGCGGATGAATATGGTCGTAGTGAATACAACGTAGGCTAATATCAGAGCTTTTCAAGCTACCGCGTTGTGTCTCATGCACGACTGTTACTTCTCAACCATGTTCTGTCATTGTAAGTTTTGTGGGTTAACACTGACTAGCCCCCAACTTCAACGATACGACTCTAGATGATATAAACATACAAAGTATACCTACAGGGATAGCTCGAGGCTAACTCCAGGGTCCAGCCTTCTAGCCGCATGATGTGCGCGTCCCATTCGGGCCCCTGAATCGGGTGCTGCGAGGGACTTTCTGTCTTCTGCGGCTGGGCTGGGCGTTGAAGCGGGTATCAAACTCTCCCCATTCACAGAAAATGCCTCGATGATGATCTGCTGGGCCGCACTAAACATGGAACGTCGTTGATCGACGACGTATTGAAACATGTTGTCATTCGCAGTAGCTAATAGCTATCGCCCTTAGCGCAGACGCCACCCGTAAAGTTAGGAACGGCAGTTCATTTCGTGCACAGTGCCGCTTCGAAGACTAGAGACAGTGTGGACATGTGGTATTTCATGCTCGTGAGAGGCACAACAGCGTACGCGACGGGGCACAGAATGGAAATGGCTTGGCTTAGATAAGGAGAAGCGCAAGCTCCAAATATCGACCGGGGAAGCATAGGATCTTGATATCTGGAGATCACTCAATAAGGTAGTCGAGCGTGTGGCCTGCCGAGATGTTTGGGCGCCGGATGCAAGCGATCGATCAACGCGCGTGCTCGGGTCAGCATTTGGAGCAACGATCGACGGTTCTCCAAGACGGCAATCTGCACGGAAGACCTATTGCTGCATCAAGGCGCCGACTGCCATTCTTTCGGGTCTCGCAGCAGCCCCATCATTAATGTGTGAATGATACACCACTTGGCTAAAGAGGGTTGCAGTCGACAAGGTGGCACATTCTGGAGCGATGTGACGAGGCTCAATCCCCGGACGCCTTGGGCTAATTAATGTGCCCTCCAGTCAGTCCCTGCAGCAGCAGGAGAGTAGATACTACATGGTGGTTATCGCGCACCTTTGAGCTCTTGCGCAGACTCGGAGTGGCCGTCGCTAAGCCTGATTACGTTGCTGGACACTGGGATGGATCGTCTGCCAAGTGATAGGGAAATTCTCGACAGCTTTATGTCGTGTGTTTATCACGGCCTAGTCAAGGTTTTTTGATCGAGTTCTTCCGGCGGCGAAGCTCCTGCCTCTGCATCTGACTTTCTTAGGCCAGGGAAGGGGCAACCCAGCGAGCCAGCCAGCAGCACCTTCCTAATGTGTGAGATGGTGGCGCCTTGGCAAACCCCGCAACACCAAAGTGAATGTCACTGGAGCCCACCAGGGCCACTCTGCACTCTTCACTTTGCTATGTAGTACTTCGCTCTCGGAGCATTGCAAAGCATCCACATCCATCCACACGCAGCAAGAAAACGCCCAGCAAACTAGCAGGAAGTACCAATATCCCCAAACCCCATAAGAGACATCAAAACCAGACCGGGAGAAAAGCCTTTTATCTCAAGGGCGTCGCGGCGCCTGAGCTTAAACGCAAGCCAAGCCACAGCCGCCGAAGATACAGCGGAAGGAGGCCAAGGCGCCATCCCACCCGGATCCCCTTACTGTACATACAGTACTGTACTGTAATGTACTCTCTGTACATATACAGGGAACCAGCAGAAAGACTCCCAACAGGAGGGAAAGGACTGACTCGTTCGATACGTGCAGCTTACTCGAGTACTTGACGATAACTAATTGAAGGTCCCCGGTGGCGCGCCGTTTCGTGGGGTCCAAGATTTCAGGGAGCTTCTACCAGATTATTCGACTAGTACGATGTGGGACGCAACTCTGCCCACACCCTACGTACTGTACTGCAGCGAGTGTGCCTCCTGCGAACACGACATTAGTCACTACTGGGCTGGGCATCGTGGGATGTCAAGCAACGTGGCGCGACGAAGCTTCCTTGGACTATTGTGCGGCGCAGAATGGAGAACGACACCTCCAATACTACTTAGCGAACCTCGCCTATGCTTCGCTATCACAGCAGGATCGCAAAACCGCGCCGCTTCATTGTCGTTGCGCTTCGACCCTGGACAGATACCTGTTCATACCCTTAAGCGACAATTGTCCGCAGGATAGCAGACATCAATGGTCTTGCCCCCGATCCAAGAGCGCTGAAGTGCACCTTGTTTACGAGCCAATGTGTCTGACATTTGATGTCACGGCGCACAAAATGTCGGAGAGTGCTATAAATGGTACCAAATAAAGAAGCATCGACAACAGGCGCCGGCCGCTCGCATACTAGAGCTGATGAGAAACAGGCCCCCGGGGCCAGACTACCTTTCAATTCAGTAATACGACTCTCTTTTTACGTATGGTCCGGGCGATGGCTTGCTTGCGGCACATATCTTCTGGAACATTTCCATTCACGTCGTAGCTTCTCCCATGGAAGTTCACCCACTGCAACACGCCCTTAAACTCCCCACCTCGATGATTGCTGACGACCAGCGGGGAAGAGCAAGCTAGGGGCAGGCTCACGCTCACGCACTGTGGCAGGCCTTCGGGCCAATGACTCTATGTCCTTGACAATAATAGCACCGCTTTTATCTCTTGGCGATGCAACCAAAACGGCTGACGATGGTCTAAATCCAGTTGATGCATGCCTAGGGGCGGCTGTTCTCTCGCTGGCTTCTCTAGCGGTGCCCACTTCGCGAAGCACGCCTTCGCCCCAACCGACCAACACCTGCATAGGAAGCTCCCTATCAGTCCCCCTCTCCAAGGTATCCAAAGTATCCAAGGGTACGCGATACAGTATCCGGGCATTCTACGCAAACAAGGCAAAGCTGACGCTCTCTCTGAGTAAACTGCTATCCGCCAAGTCGAGGTTCCCATCATCCCCGTCTGCCAAGATGCACCATCGGGGGAACCGCCATCCAGGCTCTGCTCCCATTCGACCCTGTTGTCCCTACTTCGGTCACGATCCACGGGTTGATCTGCCTTGCCTGGGTGAGATGCCCACGCCCGCTCCCTGTCCCACCTCAGATGTCCAGACCCAGACCTCTCTTGACTCGAGTGGTCGCGCCGAGCCACATGGAATAATAGATAATAATCAAATATTAAAACCTGTTCCCCCTCCTTCCTGCTTCCAACCATCCCCAATCATAGTCTATATTGAGACTTCGTCTAATTTCTTCTCTTCGATTGAAGCAGCGACTTCATTCTGAAGATCGATCGAGTCGAGGATTGACACAAGGTCAACGCGACCACCAACCACCAACATGGCCATCTTCCCGTTTAGAAAGACGAGCAGCGGCGATGAGAAGACTGGCTCCCCTCAAGAGGATATCGCCGTTGCGCAAACCTACGCCGAGCCCGAAGTCGATGAGGATCATGATGATCTCCATCGTGGAATGAAGCCGCGGCAACTTAGTATGTCCCCCCTCGCCCTGGGATACCGTGGCGCACTGTGAGACATGATGCTGACATGACGACAGATATGGCAAGTCCGACCTCACGATCTGGCGCAACGGACGATGAAACTATCTTCGGTTGCTAACAGTCACACAGATGGCTATCGCTGGCGCCATTGGAACTGGTGAGCATCTCCGTGGTCCGAGGATTGAACTTGTGAGCGCCGGATTAACATCAGCTAGGTCTTATTATCGGTTCTGGCAATGCGCTCAAGAATGGAGGCCCTGCTTCTCTTCTAATCGGCTACAGCATCATGGGCTTTTGCGTCTATGTCGTTATGGTTGCCCTCGGCGAGATGGGCGCATGGCTTCCCCACAAGAAGTCTTTCTCCGGATACGCTACCCGCTTTGTTGACCCTGCTCTCGGGTACGTGGCCCGTTACATTTCATCTCCTTGCGAAAGGAACATGGCTAACGAGAATCGATTCGCAGTTTCGCTACTGGCTGGAACTACTTCTTCAAATACGTTATTGTGCTGCCAAACAATCTCACTGTTACCGGTGTTATCATACAGTACTGGCTACCTAATATCAACGTATCGGTCTGGATTGTCGTATTTGGCATTGCAATTATTGCTCTGAATGTATGCCTACCATCAATGGCGCAGTTTGCATATGCGACTTGTACCACAGCTTGCTAATAATCTCGCAGCTCATTCACGTTAGATTCTTCGGCGAGGCTGAATTCTGGATGTCTCTACTCAAAGCCATTGTCATTTGCATGCTCATTCTCATCTGCTTGATCATCGCCCTCGGTGGCGGCCCGAACCATAAGCGAACTGGCTTTCACTACTGGAACGACCCCGGCGCATTTGTCCTCTACAAGGTCGAAGACCCGGCTTCTCTTGGTCGCTTCCTCGGTGTCTGGGCCTCGATTGTCCAGGCCACTTTCGCCTACCTCGGTACCGAGCTGGTCGGTGTTGCTTTCGGAGAAACCCCGAACCCACGCAAGAACGTTCCCCGCGCTGTTCGCCAGACACTGCTCCGTATATGCTTCTTCTATATCGCCGGTGTCATCGTGCTCGGCATGGCCGTTCCGTACAATGCCCCGAAGCTGATTGACGCCAAGGGAACCAACGGCGGTAAGAATCAGACCTCCTCGCTTCGAATAATGTTTATCATGTTGACTGACTTTTTATCTTATAGCTGCCTCGCCATTCGTTATTGCTGCCAACATCGCTGGAATCGGCAAGCTCGCCGATGCCATCAACGCCTTCCTATTGGTCTTCACCATCTCCGCCGCCAATTCTGACATCTATCTCGCTTCTCGTACCGTTTGGGCGCTGGCCAAAGATCACCAGGCTCCGGCCATCTTCCACCGGACTAACAAGCACGGTGTGCCGATTCCTGCTGTTGCTCTGTCCTCGCTCTTCATCTGCCTAGGCTTCATGAACGCAACCAAGGATGCCGGAACTGTCTTCGGCTACTTTGTGTCCCTTGTCACTGTCTTCGGTGCCCTGAACTGGATTAGCATCCTAGTGTCTTACCACTTCATGCTTTGCGGGATGAAAGCCCAGGGTATTCCTCGGTCTGTTATGCCGTACCGCAACCCGCTTCTGCCGTGGGGTGCATACATCGCCTTTGTCCTGACGGCTCTCGTCATCATCTTCAATGGTTGGGCAACGTTTATGCCCTTCACTGTCGACAAGTTCATTACGAGTTACATTGGAATCCCGGTCTACCTGATCAACATCTTGTGGTGGAAGATTTTCAAGAAGACGAAGATGGTGAACCCTCATGAGATGGACTTGCATACCGGTAGGAGAGAGTGGGATTAAATCCCATCTCTTACAAAGATAGGGGATGGCTAGCAGTAACGGTAACCGGCATTGCGAAGATATGAGTATGATCTTGTGCTTAGATGAAGAGCTTTTGTGAAGGGGCTTGTTATCAGTCAAGATAACATACCACTCGCAATGACGAAATAGAATTCCCGGTGACTATTGTCACCTCCACGTTCGGATTTTGTGCCTCCTTTTGTTCGCTTCTGTTTTTCCCTGTGCTCCTTATACAATCCCGCTTTTTTAAGCGAGTGAAATTTTGTATGCCTCAAATCACCTACGAAACTCGACACAACCTACCATTCTCCGTCGGCAGCCCGTCCACACTCTGCACCGCCCACCCCTCGCTACCCACGGCCGTCGCCGCCCAGAACACATCATCCGGATCATACGCCCTCTTGATCTCCAGCAGCCGCTTGTAGCTATCGCCGTAAAACGCCGTCTGGAAGTCCGGCTCCTCCCGGTCCGCCTCGTTCATGTAGCTCCCCGACCCGGGCGTCGCGTCCCGCAGCACCTGCATGTAGTGGTTGGTGAACTTGTCTCGTGTGGCGAGCTGTTCCGCGGCCGTCGCGTTCGGCGACCACTGTACGAAGACGAGCAGGTGCGAGAGCGCGTCGCGCCACGCGGGCAGCACGGCCAGCGGCGCGATGGGCTTGGCGACTTCGAGCGTGGGGCCGATGTGGTAGGCGTCGAACATGTGGCCCGTCTCAGAGAGGTAGCGGAGCGCGGCGATGGTCTTGTTCAGGCCGGTTTTTGGATCCGAGCTGGAGCGCGGGAGGAGACGGGAGCCGTAGCTGTAGTGCGCGTTGCCGAGGGTGTCTGGGCCGTGAGGGAAGGCCGCGGCGAGGGCTTCGACGTAGGAGTCGAACTGGGTGTAGGTGATGTTGACGTTGATGCCGAAAGATGACATTTCCTCAAGCCATGGAGTTAGTAGTGTCTTGAGCTCGACTACTGTCTTTCCTGGCGCCATGAATGGTGTGACGCTGAAAAGGGGCTGGCCATCTGGTGGAGCGGCGCCGGGTGGTGCGACATCTGGGAATGCGCCGGTGGGCATGAGGTTCCAATGCGACGTAGTCCCGGCAGCAGTCCACTCTGGGAAGCGAGCATGGTAGGCAGTGACGCCCAACCAAAAAGTGTCGACCGTGATGTTGTTCTCAGTTACTCCCCATTCAATAACTGCGGAGGTAGTGGTCGCGTCCTTGTGTGCTCTCACTACCATGGATGTCACTACACCAAAGGTGCTGCCTCCTCCACCACGGATGGCCCAGAATAAGTCTTCGTTCTTGTCTGGAGATGCCGTGAGGAACTCCCCGTCTGGGGTGACGACATTTAGCTCAAGAATTTGGTCAACTCCTAGCCCGTGTAAGGAACCGAGGAGGGAATGTCCTGCAGCTTGACTGTAACCTCCAAAAGTTCCAACTGTCTGCTATTGATAAGTCTTAATGAATTCAGGGGGGCATGGATCTACGTACTGGGCATACGCCGCCCACGGCGCGCAATCCATGGGCATGTGCTGCTTCATAGATCTCAAAGCCTTGCACGCCTGCGCCAACTTTGAATGCTGGGCCGGTATACCCTAGCACAGTGTAGTTGGCAATGTATTCGATATCCTTGAGATGCTGTTCTTATAATGAGTGAAGAACGTACATCGATGATATACAGATTGAGACTTACGTGAGTCCAAATGGATAGTGCTCCAGCCCCTGATGACTTTCCTGAACAGTCATGACCGGTGTTCTTGACAATTAGCCTCACACCAGTGTCTCGAGCAAACTTGATAGCCAATTGAATGTGTTTGACAGTTGTCACATTGACCACGTAAACTGGATAGCCGCCCTTTGAAAGGTGTCATTGTCACAGTTTACTAATCAGAAACACTTTTTGGGTGTTTACCTGTGTACAGCCCTTGGTGTCAAACAGGTCCGGCGGCAGACAGCTGAGGCCTGCAGGTACAGGAAAGAGAGCCTCAATTGGGTCGTTTGTGCTTCTTGGGTCAGCTTATCTGCCCTGCTGCAAATGGATAAGAAGGTTCGATTGACAAACATGTTGAAGTTGGCCGTGACTGCAGCACATTGAGAGGGACTGTAGTCACTGTAGATCGTGTTCTCCCAGCATACAGATGACTGTGGTATTGGTTTCAGTAGCGTACCACCCAGTGTTTCGTTGAAAGTTCTCCAGTCTGTGTCAGTGGGCCAGTCTTCATCCCCAGGGAAGACTTTGCACTGGCGTTGAACTACCGCATTGATGCTGTTCGAGGTTTTGCGCCTGTGTATCAGAGCAGTGTTTGAATGTCCTGTGGCTTGGATGTCTTCCCACTCAAAGAATGCCGCTCTCCCTACCACGGAGACAGTGCTGGCCTCAGCTGCGACGAAACAAATGGGAAAGTATGAGTGAAGTAGAACTCCTAAACTAAGTCTGACCGATTTCCTTGTCATCATTGCTCGTGCCATGTTTTTTGTTCTTTCGTGATGGATAAGAGACTGACCCGTCTCAAAGAAAGAAGCATCAGGCATATAATTAAAGTTTGTTACGCAATACTTATACATAGGCTCAAGGTTTACATTCACACATCCCATAGCTGCACACTAGAACCTCAAGAGTTACTGAGTACATTTACCCGCAATCAGCCAGAGGGGCCGCAATTTATACAACCGAGCCCTAGAGAGTGAGTTCGTATGGCCCACTTCTGCCAAATAAGATGTTGATACTTTACTGGAAGCTCTGTAAAATCAATTGCAAATAAATTTCTGCAGTACGTTGGCCTATCGTCAAATAATTTGTGTCATATCAATGAAATCCTTCTCGGGATTCAGGGAGCGTTCAGCCATATTTGTACTGCTTCCCATCAATTAGTCGAACGAAGTAACAATCTCCAACAACTTTGTAGAGCCTGCCAGCCGTGAACCGCAAAATCAGTGGGGTTTACACTTCGATTTCTGAGATTCAGGGTCGCCCTTCGACACACCCGGCAGGCCAAGCATGACGAATCCTTCTCAACTCGTGGATAAATCTCTTTATGAGGATTTGAATCGCTTGGAAGTGAAAACGAAGAATGCATTACCTTTTAAACGATGGACGCTTGGGATGGAAGTTTGGGTCATGCGCGCAAGGAGCTTCGGGCTACCCTGTATTAATGGCGAGGATGCATACGTAGAGACCAAGGCCAGCATGAACCTCAAAACGTTTGACGCAGGGTAGCACTGACTAGAAGTTAGATGACAGGTCTTTTTTGAATTCGCATAGTATTTGATACCCATGATAACACAGCCAACTGCTCCCAAGCTCTTTGCCGTCCACCACCATTCTTTATGCCACAAACGATTGGCAATCGCATGTCTTGAACTGTAAGATATCAATCATATCACTCGTGTGCATTTCCCAATTGTCACTCTCCAAAGATGATGCTTTGTGTTCCCCAGGTGCTAACATCTCATTGAGTCCCGCTGACTCAGCATCCAAGCAAGGTTGGGAAATAAGATTCGAGAACGTGCAGCATGAAGGTGCTTTCGGATGCCACAAGGTCGTCGGCGGGTGGCCATGTTGAACTGGAGAGCCACTGCCTTCTTTGTCTCTTGCAAGTATTGCATTCGCCGTCATGTAAGTATCACAGCAGAGGTCGGAGTGCAAGATTTAGGGGCAGTTGTGCAGATGTGATACTATAGACGACTTGTTCGGGAAGTGTTTTCGACACCGAAGCACTAGAAATTGGTCCGAGCGATGTAGGTGACCTTTCGAGTCGTAAGAGGTAGAATGACGCGGTATTGAAGCAAGAATAAGCCTTATTCTAATTTCGTCCTGAAGCTAAAGATATTGATGGCAGGCCAAACGTTCATCAAGTCCATAAATCAATACAAGTATGGACAAGCACTTATTAGCTCTTTCTAGAGAGGTCAAATAATAGTAAATTTCGTCTGATCGTCTAAGAGATGACAGACGATATCTAGGCCTCGGGGTGGTTTGTTATTTCTGACCAACGTGTTCTACACTGTCTTGGAAACCCGTGGCCCGTGAGACTATGGAACGTGATATACGAATGTTCCGTAGGAGTGAATCTTTGGAGTCATCAAGGTACAAGCTTGGTGCAATGTCTCTTCTGCCATACGATGATGCCATAAGAGTTTTGTGGAATCTGAATATCACATATATTGTTTTGACCCGTGATCTAGGAAATCTATGCTCCATATCTGGAAGCTATCCACCTGGGCCGATGTCTCTTGCCTCAGCAGATAGAGAGAAGACCCGGGAAAAAATTGGAGATTGCAAAATTTTCGTCCTACAATCAAGACAATTCTAGCCTTTGCTGCCTCGACTAATCAAAAGGGGAGGAGAAGTCAGCTGATTTCAGTTCCTTGTGTTTAGGGCTCCAAGGTCATGGCTGCATGGAATAGGAAATATTGCAGCAAGTTATTATGTTTCATGGAGGCTAAGGTAACACTGCAGCATCTGAGAATAGCAATAACCGCCGTGGGAGATGACGAATCAAAGACCAAGAGCAAGGGGGCAAATTTGAATACACGAGGGACCCGTATCGTTTGATCTATCCGAAGACACTTGGACTGGCACAACTCAGCTCCTGTGTCCAGAATCTCAGGTTCAAAGGCACAAAGAAGATTGCGACATGGCGACGTCGCCTTGCACAAGCGAGCTGGGAAAGGGGTGGTCGGAGTCAAGATACTCCACGCATGTAGGAACAACTCGCTTTGTACAGGCGGATAACCCCTCGCGCCCCTTGGAACAGTCTCGGATAGAGACTCGATCGAGAGTGGCCGTGTTGATGCAGGGGTAACATGAGGAGGGTGCGCCCCACTGCATAGTTCCATTAGTGCTTGTAGCACAAAGCTCCACCCTAAATTGCCGACCTCAAGTCTTAAACTTTGTTCCATTATATATAAGTCTATGTATGACCCCCTGTGGTGCCCATGTGCTTCTCTCCTTGATAAATCCACTCCGATCAATCTAAGAGAGAGAGAGAGAGAGAGAGAGAGAGAAAGAAGACAGTCGTCGAAGCTTTCGAGCTCCTGCCTAAGCCTCATCCCCACTAGCCACCGACAATCCCTCCATCACAACTTCTAATGTGGCGTTACTAGCGCTACCCTGAGGGAGACGGGGATACGATATTCGGCAGCCAGCTGACCGAGGAGAAAAAAGAAAGAAAAGCAAACGGGGTACAAAAACAGGAAGACCAGAACAGCTCAGGACTGCAACGTTACCTGGCGAGGGTCTCGCTGATCCGAGGTCTCGAGGTGGCACCTAAACTCCTGGTCCTGCTTGCTCACACACTACGCCCCCACGCAGAAAGATTCACAGGCCAGTCGGAAACCCGTCCGGGACGGCACAACGAGACACACTATTGAATTCCATTTCGGAGACGCGTTGAGCATTGGCGTGTCTTTTCGCGTCATCTTCACATTCTGCGTCCCACTGCCAGATCGCGCACGGCTCTCGAGTCAAGGTAAAGAAGTCTATTCACTTGGCAGGGCTGAGCTTTTGCCACAGAGCTAGAGCTTGGTTTGACCGTGGACTTGATCTCGATCACCGAAGTTCGATTCACAGCCATTCGGAGAGCAGTAGGTGTTGCGCAATCCGAAGGCTCCCTTTCGCCGCACGCAATGGCAACTCACGGTCTATCACGGCATACAATCGAAGATACCTGGATTCCACCCTAAATGAGACTCGGTAACAGTTAAGCTGCTCGCTCGACCTGGACGGTGTCGCAGAGCGACCGATACTCAGACAGTGCGCTTTAGGCCCGGATGAAAATGACCTGCGACATGCCGAGATTGCTTACATCTAAACGCGAACGCGTTTGAGATCCACTAGAGACCTTGATGGATTCTGGCAGACCGTGCCTCCCACCCTGTGCGCTCGTCCAACTTCATGCTACTTCCCAGAATGCTACTTTGCGCCCGATTCTCTCCGACGACGTACCAATACCGTCAAAAAAGAATAGGCAGCAAGACCTTTGCTCCTCACAGTTCGGCCATCTCTGTCTGACACGGCGGGTTTTTTTGTCCAGACACGATTTTTACGTCTGAGCACAAGCTTTAAATTGCACATCCTCTTACGGCATGGCTCCACGACTCCCCTGCGAAGTAGTGACGGGAGCGGTGAAGCGTGCAGCGAGCGTGAGTACTGCGGGACCGGCACCCAAGTTTGGTAAAAGAGATGCCGACTGTATTGTCGCTTTGAATTACAGCCAGACTGAGCTAGTATCATCCTTGTTGAAGGTGATAGATCACGACGAAACAGTGGCACTAACATGGTCTCCACTTCGTGAACCTTGTCTTCAGAAGCCACAAACACTCTCGGAACCCGCGTTATTGAGAACTGAAATGGGGCTGGTCACCCTCCCTCAAAATTCAATCCTCAAATCTGCTTCACATCTGGATTGTGTTGGTCGCTTCGATGTCCACTTGAATTTGAACCGTACGCTTCGGCAGTGGAGTGTTGTATGAATCAAATTGGCTGAACACTCCTTCCGAATCCTAAATCGCGCGTCTGTCGTCTGCCTGGGCATTGACTACGTTCCAAAATTCCGATTTCTCGCTTCGTTTAGAAAATGCCTGTGGCTCTCGAAACCGCGCGCAGGATTCGCAGACTCGTGTGGCTCTTCTACTGTGTTCGTCTTTTTTGTGATATAGGAGTTTCTTCGCTGATGTGATAAATGCAGTCTCATTGCCACAAAGAGACAGAACAGGATCCTAGCTATCGTGGACCGTGCCGAGTTTGTCAACATGATCCATGCCCTGAATGCAAGAGGCGTCATATCACGAGGTAGGGTCCATACCTGGCAATACAAAGCTGTTCTACACCGATCGTTGTCCCGGTCATTGTGTTCGATCTTCGCCGTGTATCTGGAGCATCGATGCCCCACCACCCACCAACGAGGAGCAAGAGCTCAACAATCTGCTCACCTCTGCGTGTCACCTTGTCAATTGTCTTCCCCTGTTGATTCATATTCAACATCGATAGACATCGTCCTATCTGCAATCGCCAAAAAAAAAAAAAAACGAAAGTAACATAACCGCGTTTCTCGGGTGAGTTATTGGTAAGGAATTTTGTACGGTCAAATCGCTTATTTGTTACAACAGATGCTGCCGATCTCATTCTATCCA